TCTGAAGCAAGTTGTTAGAAATAACCATCTTAGAAACTAGTTTAAAATAATATTTAGGACAGTTTTAGAATTAGTTCCTTTGTAATGAGTTTTCACTTTAGAACAAGTAATTCAAAATTTTCACTAAACTTCAGTTTTAAGAAACTTCTACTTGTTTTCAATCAAATTTAAATCATAATGTCTTGTTCTGAAATTAAAAAGCGAAAGTATTTGATTAAAAGGCAACATAGGATTGAGCTCAGAGCGATAAAACCGCGATATATGGGATATCTGCTCATATAACGTATATGCAAAGAATACATACATATGTATTTATTACAAGAATATGCATCTCGACGTGCGGGTTGTTATGATTTACATGTTTTCTTTATGTGTTACGACCCGCTATTGAAAATTGATCTTGTATGATACGTACATTCTATGTATTAAATATTCTTTGGTATACGTCATATAAAACTACAGTGACAGGATAACGCATAATTTGGCACAACTGAGATCGGGATAAGATAACAAGTTCAAAGTTTTACTTGAAACATATAGATCATGTTATCTTCAACTAGTTATTTATTTATGGACCAATCCAGTAAAATGAGTTGTAATTCAGTTGGGGAACAACTTTTGTGTAATCGCCATTATTATTTAAGGACGGTCAGTATTACTTTGGTTTTGTTTTATATCAGAGATAGGTTATGTTTTTAACTAGTGGAGACCATAAAATACTCATGATATAACCCGATGATGACCATTAAAACTCTTCAACATATACTGGTGGAGACCAAAGAATACTTTTGATTAGACTCTGATATCGGTTTATTGTAGAATATAATGTATATACATTTATGGCCAAATGTAGTTTCTTTGATATACAATTTTACTCTCAAATCAAACATAAAATTTAAATGCGAAATTAATAGAAAAGTATGGACCGTGTATAGAACTACAAATATCCTTTTCAGTTACAACGAGAGGAAGACGAATGAAAAGCATAAAAAGAGGGCTTTGAATCCCTAGAATAACCAGGCTTTCATTGAAATTAAAGAGAAATGTCTTGGGAGAAATGTTGTCAGTAATTACATTCCCCAGGAGTTAGTATGATGATACGTATTCTGAGTGGACACATTGCACAACTATAGAAAATTTTGCGAACGTATTGAGACGAATGTAAAGCTTATGAAGAGGACAATGAAATTTGCCATTAATAGGCTTTCGTCGAAATTAGATCCAAATGTCTTGGGGGCAATGTTATTTCAGTAATTACATTATCCAGGAGTTTAAAGTTTGAAATCCTGAAATACTTTCTTTGCCATTATCAGGCATTCGTCGAAATTAGATTCAAATATCATGGGAGCAAAGTTATTCCAGTACACATATACTGAGTACTGATTATAAAATTCTAAGGAACTAGATCTAGGAAACTTATTCTAGGAAACTTACAGAAAGGCCTAGATTAAGGAATCAGAATTTGCTGATTTCTAAAGTTCGATTCATGGGACAAATTACGCCATTCCAATGTGATCGAAATCTACATAGAATTTGTATAATAACTATTCTAATTTGCATGTATTTCGACTGATAAAATATATCATTTTGTGAATAAAAATAATAAACTAATGTACAGTTATATAGAACTATTTTGGAAGAATATTTCAATGGATCACTGGGTAAAATGACAAGTGCAAAATATCAAAATTAGACGTTGTGATATAAAAACTGCTCGAACTACTTCATTTTACGATAAAGCTTTTTACATTAGCAATTGTTATTGCGGGACAGGCATGGAAAATCAAAATTTTGAAATAGCACTAACCTATAACAAAAAGAGTAAAAGGTTTTAAAGTACTAAAATATTTTTTCCCTAGACTATAGACTGACTATATATTAACATATAGTCTATACTATAGACTAGACTATAGTCTAGACTATAAACTAGACTATAGTCTAGACTATAAACTAGACTATAGTCTAGACTATAGACTAGGCTATAGGCTAGACTATAAACTAGACTATATTGTCTAGTCTATTGTCTAGTCTATAGTCTAGTAAATATTTTTTCCCTAGACTATAGACTGACTATATATTAACATATAGTCTATACTATAGACTAGACTATAGTCTAGACTATAAACTAGACTATAGTCTAGACTATAAACTAGACTATAGTCTAGACTATAAACTAGACTATAGTCTAGACTATAGACTAGGCTATAGGCTAGACTATAAACTAGACTATATTGTCTAGTCTATTGTCTAGTCTATAGTCTAGTCTATAGTCTAGTCTATAGTCTAGCCTATAGCCTAGTCTATAGTGTAGACTATAGGCTAGGCTACAGACCAGACTATATACTAGACAATAGACTGGACTATAAACTAGACTATAGACTAGACTATAGACTAGACTATAGACTAGACTATAGACTAGACAATAGACTAGACAATAGACTAGACTATAGAGTAGACTATAGACTAGACAATAGACTAAACTATAGACTAAACTATAGACTAGACTATAGACTAGACTATAGACTAGACTATAGACTAGACTATAGACTAGACTATAGACTAGACTATAGACTAGACTAGACTATAGACTAGACTATAGACTAGACTATAGACTAGACTATAGACTAGACTATAGACTAGACTATAGACTAGACTACAGACTAGACTATAGACTAGACTATAGACTAGAATACAGACTAGACTATAGACTAGACTATAGACTAGACTATAGACCAGACTATAGACTAGATTATAGACTAGTCTATAGACTGAACTATAGACTAGACTATAGAGTAAACTATAGACTAGACTATAAACTAGACTATAGACTAGACTATAGACTAGACTATAGACTAGACTATAGACTAGACTATAAACTAGACTATAGACTAGACTATAGACTATAGACTGGACTATAGACTAGACTATAGACTAGACTATAGACTAGACTATAGACTAGACTATAGACTAGACTATAGACTAGACTATAGACTAGACTATAGACTAGACTATAGACTAGACTATAGACTAGACTATAGACTAGACTATAGACTAGACTATAGACTAGACTATAGACTAGACTATAGACTAGACTATAGACTAGACTATAGACTAGACTATAGACTAGACTATAGACTAGACTATAGACTAGACTATAGACTAGACTATAGACTAGACTAGACTATAGACTAGACTAGACTAGACTAGACTATAGACTAGACTAGACTATAGACTAGACTATAGATTAGACTATAGACTAGACTATAGATTAGACTATAGACTAGACTATAGACTAGACTATAGACTAGACTATAGATTAGACTATAGACTAGACTATAGACTAGACTATAGATTAGACTATAGACTAGACTACAGACTAGACTATAGATTAGACTATAGACTAGACTATAGACTAGACCATAGACTAGACTATAGACTAGACAATAGACTAGACTATAAACTAGACAATAAACTAGACTATAGACTAGACTATAGACTAGACTATAGACTAGACTATAGACTAGACTATAGACTAGACTATAGACTAGACTATAGACTAGACTATAGACTAGACTATAGACTAGACTATAGACTAGACTATAGACTAGACTATAGACTAGACTATAGACTAGACTATAGACTAGACTATAGACTAGACTAGACTATAGACTAGACTATAGACTAGACTATAGACTAGACTATAGACTACACTATAGATTCGAGTATAGACTTGACAACATACTATAGGATAGACTATAGGCTAGACTATGTACAAGACTATATACTAGATTATATTCTAGTCTATAGTCTAGTCTATAGTATAGTCTACATTCTAGTCTATAGACTAGACTATCAAAAAGTACTAAAGTTTGGAATTTTCCATGTCTGTTGATTTGACGTGATTAAACAAATATTTACTAAAAGTTACGATTTCGACTTAAAGAGAAAACTGAAATAATTTTACTCAAAAACCTAATAACATTTACTAAATACAAATACAATGAATGAGTATTATTAACATGTTAATTGTTGTTGTTGTTGTATTAATAAAAGAATTGTTATTTTATTTAATTAAACATTGTATTATTTATTTAGTCAAATATTTAATAAGAGAGAGGAAAAGAGAGTTTAAGAGAAAGAGAGAGAGAGGGACACACACACAGAGAAATGCAACTAAATAACATTATTTAATTTTGTTTTAATATATATTTTTTATTTTTAAAGACTTTATTAATATTATTTTATTTAGTTTTTGTTTTTTTTTTTTTTTTTTGTAATTTTGATATAAATTAAACAAATACGTACATATACATTCAAGTTATTTACTACATAATGTATATATAATAATTAATTATTTAATTAAGTGGTTTGTTTGTGGTTTTTGGAAAAAGGTATTTATATATAAATATTATACAATTAAAATATAATTATTATAGAAATTTATTTTATTTTGTTTTTTTCTTTAAATTTGGTTGTTAAATTTTTGAAATATATTTAATTAGTTTTGTTTATATAATTACAATTTAATATTTGTTTTCTTGTGTTTTTTTTTTTAAATATGATGACTTAATTATTAAACTTTTTTTATAGCTTGCCTTTAGGCTTTTTTTCTCATTATTGTTTTTAAATTGTTTATGAAACATGGCATCTTTTACTTTTTAGTTTTTGTTTATGTTTAAAGCCTTTTTTCATTCTGTTTTTTTTAATTAAATTTATTTTCTTGTTTATTTGGTACTTGGAATTGTTTTTTTTTAGTTTTAAGTTTTATTTTCTTTGTTGGTTGTTGTAAATAATTACTTTTTTTGTTTGTTTTTTATAGTTAATAATATTAAATACTTTAATATTTTACATTATTTAAAAAAATAATAATAATAATAAGAAGGAAATAAACATTTATGCATAAATAATGTTTGTAAAATTTCGTAATGTTGTGGTTGAAATAAATGTTGTTTAATGTGTGGTGAAGAAGTTTCAATATTTTTGGTTTACCATATCTGAGAGGAAAAAAAAAGAAAATTAAATTTAAATAAACACATAAATTAAATAATTTTATGAGATATTTTAAACAAATTATTAATGCAACATTAGAACAATAATGTGTAAAACAACAAAAATCATGCTAAAAACAAGAATGATTGGAGCTGTGTTAAGCGTTTTTTGGGAAAAATGTTACTGAAATCTAATCATATTTTTGTTTTAGACAAAAAAGTATTCGTTAAGATGCAGCGCTGTGATGCATTTCCGAACAGGCTCAAAATTATAAAAAATACTCTAACATAATACTCTAAGGTATCCTTTAGCTAACTAAAGGTTTAAATTTCAAGTTTCTAAAGCCAATACTTTCCTTTTCTTAAACTTCAAATACAAAATTAATATCAAAGTTGTTCCTTTTTAAGGATATTAATACATTTTGGTAACAATCATCCTTATTAAAGATGGAAATTTCATAAAGAGTTTAATATCATATCTTCTACTATGAAATATTCATGTCTAACCTCACAATTTATCAATCAAAAGTTTCGATATAACTCCGCCTAAACTTTTCGCATTTTGCTTAAAGTAATTAAGTAATTATACAGGGCGACCATATTACAAAAATAACGAAACCTTGGGACTAGAATACACTTATCTAAAGGATTAAGCTGTGCTAAATCTGAATCTAACCTCACTATTTAAATTTCGAGATAACTTCGCCTAAAAGTAAAAACCACGTTTTCGCCATATAGGAGCCCTTTTAAAAACTCGAAATGATTTTTATCTGAAACCCTTAACTATTGTCTTATTGAGTAGTGAAATTCTGAGATAAAATTTAGATTCTGCGCAGCTTGAATCTTCAGAAAAGTGATAGATGTTTTTTGGGCCCGATAGAACTTACTTTACTGTCATATTAACTGTTATGTTGAGCTCACTTTTTGCCATTTATAAACAGTATAATCTGGCAAATCATCACGAATAGATTAAGGTTTGAACATCGCCACCAAATTAACCAAAATGTCTTTCAAAATCAGTCATTAAAGTTTTATTGCAAAATTAATTTCATTTTGGGAACTTGGAACTGGCAACGCAACCTGAAATGGCAACTAATATACATAATCGACACAATGTCCATTGATAAGGCTTATTTCTTATTTAATAGGTTAGTGTTTATGTGATTTAGCCGAGTTAAAAGGGAGCTTTCTACAGGATGGCGCTAAGTGTTACCCCACAACCGGAACTGATTAAGACACAAATTAGAAGGTTATTAAGAATAGTAAGGTCTTGAAATGTTATGTAGTTCATTCCAGTTTAGTACTGAACACTAATAGTGGAGTTAGGTCGGTGAAACCTTCTACCTGCTACTACTGCAGGTTAATCCCCAATAAATTAAGGAGCTCCACTAACCATTCCTGACACAGTAGGATGGATAACAGGGTATCCAAGTCCTTATGACCGATTTAGAATGCCAAGGCAACGAGTATACTATTAAGGTTGGACAGTAGGAGTATTAGAATTCTGATAGGAGTGATAGACGGTCGACTAGAATAGACAGAGATGTTCGTACACATCGAATTTATTTTATGTCATGAGTTGATCCTTTATAATCTAGTCATTGGTTAAAGATTTGTTGGCCTGTGTTATCGAGGGACTGCACTCAATAGTCGCTATCTCTTATTATTGAAATATTTAAGTGCTTTTTAAGATAGAGAGTCTTGAATATAATCCCTACGTATCCGGTATTAACACATGCATTTATATAGAATCAAAGCTAGAAACATAGATCTTTAATATAAATAACTGTTCAGTTAACATTTAAACGGACTGTAATTCAAATTGTGGAGCCCTTAGTATAAATAGATAAAATTCTTCAAAAGTATTTCATTCTGAAAAGGTGTTCATATGGGGGCTAGAACCCGGTCATTATGAACATCGACAGTTAAGGTTCATATACAACTTAGTTGTGTCGGTTTTTGTAGAAACCCAAGTTTTTTTACATAAAAATGAGCTCCCATCATTTTCAATAGGTTTCATGTTTATGCGAAAAAAGAGGCGAATTCCAATTTCATCAAATTATCTGAAAAATAAAAATTACAGCATGTACTCGAACAGAATGTTCAAAGCAGAGATCGTAGCGATCTAGAAATCGATGGAACTGATACGGAATCATATAGATCTGGTGTTGTTTGTGACAATTTAGGTCCATCTCAAGCTGGCCTTAGAACATTCATGCTTGGTTTCGGATTGTAAAAATACCCTTTCGAGACATTAAGAGAATATTGCAATGTGCATGACAATGAGGTTGCAGACGAACTAGCTAGATTATTTTTTAACCTATACAAAAGTGAAAGGAAGAAGGAGTAAAACCACCCATCTGTCAATATTACAGTCCTTAAATAGTAAAACGGATTGCAAAGACCTTATGGCCAACACTGGATGTAAAGTTCATCAAGATACCTTTAAAACTGGATCATTCCCGCGACAGCCGGTTCTACGTACCATAATGATCCGAATTATTCGGTCAAGGGATATCAACCCCAGCAACAACAAAAGGATTGGATAGGGTCCTTGCTTTGCTTAAACAAGGCTTTTGCCAGTAAGTGGCACTGTTACATACTGGCCGGTTATGTGAAGATGCCGAGAAGCTAGAAACAATTGATCATATAGAGTACAGAATCTCAGGTTAAAATGTCTGGGATATTGTGGCGCTCAACCCACGCAGTCTATTAGGCTTTATAAGAGAAATCAGTCATTTCTCCAACTAGGTTTCGTAGAGACAATTGAGCATATAGATTACAGAATCTCTGATTGAAATGGCTGGAATATTGCGGGTCTCTAGCCTCGCAGTCTCTTAGGCTTCTTCACGGAATTCAACTAGGGTTTGTTGAAATGGCTGGGATATTACGGAACTCTAGCTTCGCAGTCTCTTAGGCTCTTATTCTTCTTCACAGGAATCAGTCATTTCTCCAACTAGGTTTCGTAGAGACAATTGTACATATAGAGTACAGAATTTCAGGTTGAAACGACAGGGATATTGCGAGACTCTAGCTTCGCAGTCTCTTAGGTTTCTTTACGGGAATCAGTCATAGGTTTTGTAGAGACAATTGAGCATATAGATTGCAGAATCTCAGGGATATTACGGGTCTCTAGCATCGCAGTCTCTTAGACTTCTTCACGGGAATCATTCATATCTTCGACTAGGTTTTGTCGAGACAATTGACCATATAGATTACAGAATCTCAGATTGAAATGGCTGGGATATTGCGGGACTCTAGCCTCGCGGTCTATTAGGTTTTATCTGGAGAATCAGTGATTTCTTCGTTTTGTAGAGAGTTTTAGATTCCCTTACACTTTCTTCTTTAATGAACTGATTCGTTATAATTTCTAGGTTGGAAACCATTGGGAGCCGACCTGTTTACCGTCATCTCTTCTCTCACTTTATATTATTTTTGTTTCTCTATTTTAGGATTTCATTCAACAGATGTCAAAAGGTGTTAGAGTCTAACAGTCTTTTTTAGATACTTTGTATAGTGTAAGAGGTTTATTAATAAACATTTAACAAAGGTTTATAGAACCAAATTTTGCATGAAATTGTTTTGATACCAAACATTTTTCTAACAAAATCTTTTCAAAAAAACGTATTTCAATATAAATCAATAGAAGCTCCAATATAAATGAAGTGCATATGTATTCTATTATTTGCAGGAATCTGGATAAGACTTATCCATAATACAAAACTCACTGCTAACTAACTGGCTGCTAACTTTTTCCTATGTAAGTTTTTATTAGAAACAGATATCAACTTGCTAGTTAACGGCCAGTTTTGTATTAAGAACAAGCCCCTTAATGTTTAAAATGGCAGTGTCAAACTCTTTTAACAATTACTTCATTCTTCTTTTAAAACATTCCATAATAAGCTTTTATTAGGATATAAATTAATAAAAATGTTAGCGGAAAACTTATTCAAAACCTTTACATACTTACTGTCACATGAAGAAACAATGAAAATGTTTTGATTTACATTATTTTTAGATTTTTTTTTATAAAATTTTTAAGAAATAAAATTTGTTGCCAAAACAAAAAACTAATGATAAAACACATTAAAAGGAATTATTTCCAACAAATAGCTATAAAATATTTTATGTGATAAGAAAAAAAAAGTAGAAATAATTTATTATTAAAAAAAATCTTTGGCTAATTATGTGTGTTAATGAAAGAACTGAGCAATTAGTTAATAATAAATTTTTAAAAAAATGAATGTTAATATTAAATTTTAAGTGAATTAATTATATATGTTTTATACTAATATTATTTGCAATTATTAATGTTTTTAATTTTGTCTATGTTTTTTCTTTAAATAGGTTTACTTTTACGTTTTTTCTTTGTTATAATTATTGAATAAACAACATTTAATTCGATGGTCTTAACGCATTTAATTCATATAATTATATAATTTTTCCCAAGATGTTTTGTTTGTTTTGTTATTTTTGCAGTATTTTTTTCAACGATTTTTCTCAGTAAGTAATTTGCAAAAATATCAATTGATTTGTTTTTTTCTTAATAATGTTTTTTTATATTGTTTTTAAATATTTGTTTTTTTATTATCTCTTCAATTATATAAATATATATAAGTTATTCAATAGAAGAATGCAACACCATAACTATGTTTGTAATTAGTTTTATAAAATGGTTTTTTTCTTAAGTTTCCGTTTTATAATTTATTTAATTTTCCCCCTTTTAAAAAAAATTATCAAAGTTTTTGTTAAATTTTTCATTTTTCATTTTTCTTTGTAGTATTAAGTAATTTTTTCTTTTAGCTACGATTTTGTTGTTGTTGTTTTTATTGTTTATTAACAAAACAATTGTTTTTATTATTATTATGAGGGTTTGGAGGGAAGGTAAGTAGTAGTTTCTTTTTATATACCTGGGGTATAAGTTGTTTGCTCTGTTGTATTCAATGAAGTTTGCTCTGTGGCTGCAACTGGAGCACCAGTAAATGGATTTACACCTGTGGCCGGTGGTGGTGGCATTGCAAATACGGGTTGACCACCTGCGTTTGATGTAGTTCCTTGATTTCCTTGAGATGACATGGTTGGATCTGCATCCAAATCAACTTCCTCCTATAAAAATTCCAAAAAAGTATACAAATGTTTAATTTATCATTTAGCATAAGAATATTTAAAAAAGTAATATATCTATTTATAAGTATATTAAACCATTTTGTCTATATTTTTATTCTTTTCATCATACATTAAATAAATAATATTTTAAAATAAAATTTTGAAGTTTTTTCTTTCGTTTGGTCAATTTTTGTTAGAGATTACAGAAGAAATCAGTGCTTAGAAAGTACCTTGATGCAGTAAGTAAGGTGGAAGCATTTTGGGCAACAAATACAACAACATACAATACATCGAAATCTGTTCAATCAATTTTGATTTTAAAGTTATTGATAACTTAATATCGATTTAAAGCTGGAGGTCCACACTACAGGGTATACAGAGGCATCACGAGCAAAAAACTATTTCCCTCTCTTTCGTACAAAACGATTTCAATGATTTTTTTAGCTGTATTTTATATACCTCTTCTCACCAAACAATTTCAAAATCAAACAAAAGCTGATTTTAGACTTTTTTAAATGTCAAAAGTGACACCTCTGTATACTTTGTGGTCCACACCACGAGTTCTACGCTTCTTCGCATCCTACGTGGCTGTCAAAAAAGTAGAATCAATGTTGTTGTGTGCTACATGCTACAAGCTTAAAGGCGTAGGATGCCTTGACGCTTAGAATGCTTAAAGTAGATATACTTTCTACTTTTGTAAGTGTCATAAGCGGCGCACGAATATGTCAGCTGATTTTGACAACTTATACTCTATTTTTAATGTGTATTTATCAACTTTAATAAACTAAAAAGAGTTAAATTTTGAAAATATAAATAAAAAACTAAAAAAAAACGCGAAGATATTTGTAAATTAAGCAAAAAATTGACTCTTAAGAAGCGTAGCAAGTAACTTGATGCGTGGGATGCAAAGAAAGGTATGAAAAGCACGAAATTCTTTGCCGTAAAGTGTGGACCTCCAGCTTAAGAGTTCTCAGTTTTCTGATTCCTTTATTAATGTGGATTTCCTTTAAAACATCATAGAATACCGTGGCTTTTTGGAGTTTACATATATTGGAATAAGAACGGGGTCCAATCTACACAGGCTATTATTTATTACTCTTCTAAACTTGCCCTTTTCGTTTAAAGTGTGCAATATGGAACAACGAACCAAAACCAGGTAAATATGGCCAGTGTTGAATAAAAATGCACGACCTATCTTCTAAAATTATGATGCTCCGAACATAGCAACTTTATTGCTGTCACTACAGGACACTTTAAACTTGGCAGACTTGGTTCACCCTACAACAACTTCTGTATAAGTTCTTTCGTTCTATGAACTTTCTTAGGCAAGGTGAAGCAACGAAGGAAAGAATGACCAGTGGAAATGGCACGGCTATCTCCTAGAATAATTTTCTCCCAACTAGTCAACTCGAAGGCTATCACTAGCGGTTTACCTTACAATGATGAATAAATCTATTGATCGTATTCATCGTTATTGCACCAAAGTGCTAGTCAGCAGCACATGGGGTATGGGATAAAGAAACCTTATTAGCTACATAAAAAAACGATTGATTGGTCAGTGGTTAATTATTCTGCTTCAGTGTGGCCACCTTCGCTCAGTGATACCCAGTGGAGAAACATTCAAAGCTGCCAAAAAGCTGTCCTAAGGACTGTAACGGGTTGCCTACAAATTACCTCTGAACATCATCTATACGAGGAAACGAATGACCTCCTAGTCGAGGAACATAATGTCATGTTGACTAATCAGTTCACCGGAGAAGTCATCCTAACTTTAACATCACACAGTTGGATGCTCCCCCAAGGCATGTTAGGAAGGATCTTCGTATATAAGAGGAGAACATACGCAGTTATATGCAGGATCCAATAGATGAGTCCTCGTATATGGTAGCTTTAAACGACATTCATAGAGATGCCATCAATTCCGCGGTCACAGAATACTGCATGAATGTCGTACTTGGAGGTCACTCACCGCCCATAGCAGACACAGCAGAAAACCTGCCGCGGAAAATAAAATTACTTCTTCTACTACTATGATCAGGATTGAGCAACAGGCTTAATGCCTACTGGTCACACATAGACCGTGCCGTCCCAACGTATGTCCAGCATGTGATCAAGGTCCCCATGATACCCACCACATATTCAACTGCTCAGCCAACCCTACTTCACTTTGTCTAATGGATTTATGGACACATCCAGTTGAAGTAGCACAATTTTTAGGCCTGGACATTATATTATTGTATAGTTTTAGCTACTACAACAATTTTTAAGACAGTGACTATTATGGAAACCAATTTTCAGCAATTTGCGACGATCCATTTGAAACTGGAGCAGCTTCGGGTGTTTGGCCATTCTGACATACCTGGCAAAAAACATTGCGTACAAACTGTCCAAAGCCACTTTAAGGACATTGACCTTGTAAGATTTTATGATTACGAAATTATTTCATGATTTTAAACACTACAGATCACAATGATAAAGAAAATTTCCTCTGTCTCTGCCCTTTTTGCTAGAGATCAGGATTGGCACATAACTTGGTGGATATATCAAATATCAATATGCTTCTAAAAATTCCGTTTGATTGTACTTACTACTGCACACCCCAAACCATTTTGTGATAGAGACTTCTCCATGTGGATTCAGTAGAATACGAATGAGATGGAACTAATCCTTCGTGATGTATCACACAAGATTTTCATTGATGGCTTTAAAACAAAGGATGTAGTGAGTGGCAAACTGAGAAAAAACACAACTTATGTATGTTGCACACTCGGGAACGAGATTTTCTTTTGGACTTCATGCTATTAAACTTAGGTTCTAGTTTCTATGAGCTAACAATTTGGTCTATACAACATGAAACTTGGTCATTGAATGTCGATCATCTTTTAATAAGATGACGAAATATTCCGTAGTGTGACACCTTGACACCTGGAGATACCTTTGTAGACAAAACTCGTAAGGGATGATATCTACAGCTTAGACGAAATAATATTCTCTAGATACAAATGATCGATTTGAGACATGCACAACGAATATGAAATTCATATGGCCAATCAAGGCTACCTAAAGAAAGACGAAGATAATGTGGTCAATGTATAATCCACAACGATCACAAGCCTTGTTATATATTTCGAGAGCTCAGCTATGAAACGCAATTGCAGTGGTCAATGGCATTTTGTTCGTCTTAATTTAGATTTCTTGTACTATATCGAATGCCATCAACTCAATAAAGAAAATTATGATCATATTTACGCGATAGGATACGACCAAGAGTAATTAGGTCGAAGTTTACTTTTACGCAGAACTTTCCTTAGTGATGTAAACATATGGAAACTCTGCTCGTTAAGTTTTTACCAATAGCCCACTCCTTTAAATGTCGAATATATCGGTACCAACTATAGTCCTCAAAATTTTATAAGGACAATTTTGTCATTCATATGAAAATTTGAAAGAAGAAATTGTAGGACTAGCAATAGCGGACGTGGTACCTCCCATATGAGTTAAATAAAAAAATTGTATAGCAAGGTTTGCTCAACAAATTTGCGATCCACGTGAACTATTGGGTGAAAAATTGGCGGATTAGTAATAATGTCATGGCACCTTCCATATGAATAAGATAAAATTTTCAAATCTGGAACGAACAACTATGACATCCATGCAAACATATGGGTAATAATTTGGAGGATTTGCAATAGGGAGAAACTATTTAAATCCATATGAACAGTTGGAAAATTGACGGACTTGGGTAAGCACCTTCTAAATAGATAAAAAACACAGGTAGGAGTCCTCAGTATTTGTAGATGTAGTTTTAGTATAAATATGAACATTTGGTTCAAGGATAATTGGATTAGCAATAGTAGGCGAAGCACCTCCCATATACATATGTACAGTGTACATAATTTAAATAAAAGGAATTACGAAAAATCGTAGAGGCTTATTATGTATGTTGTTTTTAGGATAGCGAAGAACACTGGGTTAGCTAATAAGACAATATAAAAAGGTTAAAGGTCACTATTACATAAATCGATTAGATAGAAGTTAAATGCGTTAAGCTAAACATTTTCTTTTTGAAACGAATTATTCTTCAAAATTATTTCAATTACTTAGAAAATCTGTTCTAGTTCAGTTCTAGTTCAGTTCTAGTTCAGTTCTAGTTCAGTTCTAGTTCTGTTCTAGTTCTGTTCTAGTTCTGTTCTAGTTCTGTTCTAGTTCTGTTCTAGTTCTATTCTAGTTCGGTTCTAGTTCTGTTCTAGTTCTGTTCTAGTTCTAGTTCTGTTCTAGTTCTGCTCTAGTTCTGTTCTAGTTCTGTTCTAGTTCTGTTCTAGTTGTGTTCTAGTTCTGTTCTAGTTCTGTTCTAGTTGTGTTCTAGTTGTGTACTAGTTCTGTTCTAGTGCTGTTCTAGTTCTGTTCTAGTTCTGTTCTAGTTCTGTTCTAGTTCTGTTCTAGTTCTGTTCTAGTTCTGTTCTAGTTCTGTTCTAGTTCTGTTCTAGTTCTGTTCTAGTTCTGTTCTAGTTCTGTTCTAGTTCTGTTCTAGTTCTGTTCTAGTTCTGTTCTAGTTCTGTTCTAGATCTGTTCTAGTTCTGTTCTAGTTCTGTTCTAGTTCTGTACTAGTTCTGTTCTAGTTCTGTTCTAGTTCTGTTCTAGTTCTGTTCTAGTTCTGTTTTAGTTCTGTTCTAGTTCTGTTCTAGTTCTAGTTCTAGTTCTGTTCTAGTTCTGTTCTAGTTCTGTTCTAGTTCTGTTCTAGTTCTGTTCTAGTTCTGTTCTAGTTCTGTTCTAGTTCTGTTCTAGTTCTGTTCTAGTTCTGTTCTAGTTCTGTTCTAGTTCTGTTCTAGTTCTGTTCTAGTTCTGTTCTAGTTCTGTTCTAGTTCTGTTCTAGTTCTGTTAGTTCTGTACTAGTTCTGTTCTAGTTCTGTTCTAGTTCTGTTCTAGTTCTGTTTTAGTTCTGTTCTAGTTCTGTTCTAGTTCTGTTCTAGTTCTGTTCTAGTTCTGTTCTAGTTCTGTTCTAGTTCTGTTCTAGTTTGTTCTAGTTCTGTTCTAGTTCTGTTCTAGTTCTGTTCTAGTTCTGTTCTAGTTCTGTTCTAGTTCTGTTCTAGTTCTGTTCTAGTTCTGTTCTAGTTCTGTTCTAGTTCTGTTCTGTTCTAGTTCTGTTCTAGTTCTGTTCTAGTTCTGTTCTAGTTCTGTTCTAGTTCTGTACTAGTTCTGTTCTAGTTCTGTTCTAGTTCTGTTCTAGTTCTGTTCTAGTTCTGTTCTAGTTCTGTTCTAGTTCTGTTCTAGTTCTAGTTCTGTTCTAGTTCTGTTCTAGTTCTGTTCTAGCTCTGTTCTTGTTCTGTTCTAGTTTTGTTCTAGTCCTGTTCTAGTTCTGTTCTAGTTCTGTTCTAGTTCTGTTCTAGTTCTGTTCTAGTTCTGTTCTAGTTCTGTTCTAGTTCTGTTCTAGTTCTGTTCTAGTTCAGTTCTAGTTCAGTTCTAGTTCAGTTCTAGTTCAGTTCTAGTTCAGTTCTAGTTCAGTTCTAGTTCAGTTCTAGTTCAGTTCTAGTTCAGTTCTAGTTCAGTTCTAGTTCAGTTCTAGTTCAGTTCTAGTTCAGTTCTAGTTCAGTTCTAGTTCAGTTCTAGTTCAGTTCTAGTTCAGTTCTAGTTCAGTTCTAGTTCAGTTCTAGTTCAGTTCTAGTTCAGTTCTAGTTCAGTTCTAGTTCAGTTCTAGTTCAGTTCTAGTTCAGTTCTAGTTCAGTTCTAGTTCAGTTCTAGTTCAGTTCTAGTTCAGTTCTAGTTCAGTTCTAGTTCAGTTCTAGTTCAGTTCTAGTTCAGTTCTAGTTCAGTTCTAGTTCAGTTCTAGTTCAGTTCTAGTTCAGTTCTAGTTCAGTTCTAGTTCAGTTCTAGTTCAGTTGTCGTTCTGTTCTAGTTCTGTTCTGTTCTGTTCGTCTGTTCTAGTTCTAGTTCTGTTCTAGTTCTGTTCTAGTTCAGTTCTAGTTCTGTTCTGTTCTAGTTCTGTTCTAGTTCTGTTCTAGTTCTGTTCTAGTTCTGTTCTAGTTCTGTTCTAGTTCTGTTCTAGTTCTGTTCTAGTTCTGTTCTAGTTCTGTTCTAGTTCTGTTCTAGTTCTGTTCTAGTTCTGTTCTAGTTCTGTTCTAGTTCTGTTCTAGTTCTGTTCTAGTTCTGTTCTAGTTCAGTTCTAGTTCAGTTCTAGTTCAGTTCTAGTTCAGTTCTAGTTCAGTTCTAGTTCAGTTCTAGTTCAGTTCTAGTTCAGTTCTAGTTCAGTTCTAGTTCAGTTCTAGTTCAGTTCTAGTTCAGTTCTAGTTCAGTTCTAGTTCAGTTCTAGTTCAGTTCTAGTTCAGTTCTAGTTCAGTTCTAGTTCAGTTCTAGTTCAGTTCTAGTTCAGTTCTAGTTCAGTTCTAGTTCAGTTCTAGTTCAGTTCTAGTTCAGTTCTAGTTCAGTTCTAGTTCAGTTCTAGTTCAGTTCTAGTTCAGTTCTAGTTCAGTTCTAGTTCAGTTCTAGTTCAGTTCTAGTTCAGTTCTAGTTCAGTTCTAGTTCAGTTCTAGTTCAGTTCTAGTTCAGTTCTAGTTCAGTTCTAGTTCAGTTCTAGTTCAGTTCTAGTTCAGTTCTAGTTCAGTTCTAGTTCAGTTCTAGTTCAGTTCTAGTTCAGTTCTAGTTCAGTTCTAGTTCAGTTCTAGTTCAGTTCAGTTCTAGTTCAGTTCTAGTTCAGTTCTAGTTCAGTTCTAGTTCAGTTCTAGTTCAGTTCTAGTTCAGTTCTAGTTCAGTTCTAGTTCAGTTCTAGTTCAGTTCTAGTTCAGTTCTAGTTCAGTTCTAGTTCAGTTCTAGTTCTAGTTCTAGTTCTGTTCTGTTCCGTTCTGTTCTAGTTCTGTTCTAGTTCTGTTCTAGTTCTGTTCTAGTTCTGTTCTAGTTCTGTTCTAGTTCTGTTCTAGTTCTGTTCTAGTTCTGTTCTAGTTCTGTTCTAGTTCTGTTCTAGTTCTGTTCTAGTTCTGTTCTAGTTCTGTTCTAGTTCTGTTCTAGTTCTGTTCTAGTTCTGTTCTAGTTCTGTTCTAGTTTTGTTCATTAACATATAAACATTTAACAAATAGCAGCTTTTATGGAAAGTTTATTTCGCTATAATACTTTTAAAACTTTAAAGATGTAGAAAATCTTATAAGATGTAGAAAATCTTATAAGAGTACATTTGTAAGAATTCAAAATTCAATACTAATTACACAAAATTTCAAATGTTCTAAAATAAGTTTATCTTAGTTTAAGGATAGGAATGGTATTGAGCAAATGAGGAGTAAATAGAAAGTAGTGAAAGCTCATTAGATAGATTAGAAACCATGTTAGTTACATTATTAAAGCTAAAGAATATTGTTGATAGAAATATTAAGTATTTAACATGATCTAGAAAATGGTTTAATAAATACTTATAACTTTTTCATTTATAAATAAACTAAAGGATGCATTAAATATGTATTTCAGTTTAAAGTGGTTTAGATTTTTAGAAATTTGCCAGATTAACTATAATATTTTATTTATAAATACAAATTAATTATACAATCTATACATTAATAGCTTTATATGTATATATTTTTACATAATATGTATTTTGTTGGATATTTAAGAAATTAAAATCGTTAATAGAATAATAAAAATAATATTGTTAGTTATATAGTTAAAGAAAAACTAAAATATGTTAAATACATAATAATAGCCATTGGTTACAATTTAAAAGTTATAAACTTTACAAGCATAACAAAAAAAATAATAATTATACAACTAGAAAAACAAACAAAAATTAAACTAATAATACACCAACAACATTTTATGCAACATCATGCTAAAAACAACAAAAAAAAAGATAATTTTTATTTTATTTTTGTCTTCTTCTAAAGGAAAGTTAAGTACTAACTACAATTAAATGTAAGCAAATGATCAACAAATGTACTTACAAGTCGTTCAGGTTGACCCATATTTGGGGGACGATCACTAGCTTCTCTAACTTCACCGTCACGCTGTGATGATGGATTTAACAAAAAAGTAATAAGGTAATATAAAATTTTGTTTAATGTTTAAACTTAAATTTCTTTTAAACAATTTTAAAAAATTATAAATGATCAAAGAAAAAAGGATAAATAAAAATTTGTGTTAAAGGAAAGAAAAAGTGAATAAGTGAAAATTATAAAAAAAAAAACAAGAAAAACAAAATTTTATATAATTTAAAATGAATTGAGATTTATACTACTTCGAGTGGTAAATAACCGAGGCTATAGGCGTGGCAGAGTTTAAAGTTAAAAAGTACTTTGTTTTAACAGAATTTAATTTGTAAATTTCAGTCGGAATGTGAATGTGTTTTCTTTAAGTTTTTAATAAATTTTGCGGCAATTCGGCGTCAGTTTTATTTAATAAAGAAATAATTTAACTTTTAGAAATAAAACTGTTTATTACAATTGTTTGCCTTTTGGTGAAATGTTATTGATAATTTTCAACAGCTGGAGGAAATGTGAAGGAAATTTAAGCAAAATATTAGGGTGGAGTAGGTTTTAACGCATTTTAAGGTGTTTCTTTTAGTTAAAACTATTTAAAGGTGTGCTAAAATTAAATTGTACTTCAATTCAGTCATTTGTTTAAAATTTCGAAAAAAAAGTACTCTGTTGCTTGAACAAATATTTAATTTATCAATTAATTAGCAGCACAAACAAATTTTAAGTAAACTTTGAAAATTTTTACTAGTTTTTGTAATTTATTAAAGCTGGAGGTTAATTACTTAAATCGAAAACAAAAAATTTGGAATTTGTAACTTTATCATATTTCAAAAGAAGTTTCTTTTTAATCCAAATAAAGGGCTAGCCCCCGGGGTATTTAGTTACTAATCTAAAGATGTTAGTTACTTTTATATGAATTTTCTCTATCATTGCAGGAAATAATTTTTAGCTAAACACAAATTTTGATTATATTAATTTACAACAAATAACTAATTTTATTTGAAAAACTAATTAATTAGCAATAATCTTTGTGAGCCCTTCACCTTGTTTTTTCTTTCTTTTTATAAGAATTTTTAAACAAACATTTTTATTTATACAAAAGTAATAATTGTAAAATATGATTAGTAAATAAAACAAGTTTTTAGGTTTTTTTTGATGATTTTCGTGAAGATTATTATATGGTGAAATATATGTCATGAAATTAAATGTGTAATTGATTATAAACAATAAGAATAGCGTGCATGTATTAGATAATTTAATAAATTTAAAAAAAAGAATAATTTATAAATTATTATAATAGCGAAAGATGACAAAAAATTGAGAAATGTTAAAAATTAATCTTAAATAGTCTAGTCTAGTATATAAACGTCTGTATTCTGCATTCTAGTCTATAGTCTAGTCTATAGTCTAGTCTATAGTCTAGTCTATAGTCTAGTCTATAGTCTAGTCTATAGTCTATAGACAATCTATAGTCTAGTCTATAGTCTAGTCTGTAGTCTAGTCTATAGTCTAGTCTATAGTCTAGTCTATAGTCTAGTCTATAGTCTAGTCTATAGTCTAGTCTATAGTCTAGTCTATAGTCTAGTCTATAGTCTAGTCTATAGTCTAGTCTAGTCTATAGTCTAGTCTATAGTCTAGTCTAGTCTAGTCTATAGTCTAGTCTATAGTCTAGTCTATAGTCTAGTCTAGTCTATAGTCTAGTCTAGTCTATAGTCTAGTCTATAGTCTAGTCTATAGTCTAGTCTATAGTCTAGTCTATAGTCTAGTCTATAGTCTAGTCTATAGTCTAGTCCAGCGGTTCCCACCGATTTTTACTTCGCGGACCCCTTGAAGAACTTATTTAATTTCGCGGACCCCCATACATATTTTGATATTCTATTGTTCTAAATAATTGTCCATCCGAAAATTGACTTAATAAATGTAGAGATGTCATATCTTTAAAATATTCCCGTACATTGAGAATATATAATGTTTCAGATAGGTTTTCAATTGCATGTTTTGAAGATAGAATGACTTCTTTGTTGATATGTTAACATGATGTTTCATTTTATGATCGTGAGATCTTTCATGTTCATTTTTCTTCAAGGTAGCGAAAAGGTTTCTTTATCAAATATTGTCACATGTGCTTAAAGAGTCACGTTTCAAAAATTTGTTGCGATTGCAAAGGGTGAACTGAGTAAGTGAGCTAAGTTTTCTGGGAAAATAATATAAGAAAGTTGGACTTCTTCTATGTTGTTGCGGAATGCGTTATCCGCATAATATATGATTTGAACTCATTGTTAAAGTACTTTGAATTTGGAGCTTAAATTTGAATTTTAAAATACCAACGAATTATTTTACTTCATGGTTTTTGACTACATATTTACGCGAAACGCTATGGATTTTCTGATGTTAATTTAATAATATGTATTGGTCGACAAAATCAAGTTCAAATCTGTGTATCATGTCGGATTGGAATATTTATAAAGAGATGCATAAAGAGTCACCTCTGTTTTGAAAATATATAATTTTAGTCCTTTCAAACAATAATAAGCTTGTCTTTGAATTGAACTTCATACTCCGGAATACCAGTATCCCTAATTTAATTGTAAGGCAGAGTATTATTTGTCTGAAATAAAAACCATTATTTCAGTACATATACAGGAAATAAAAATTACAAATCACGCAATACTTTACTTTATAAAAGTTATACAATAAATTTGTAGGGCCTAGCTTCTTCCTGATAAACAACCGAAAAAATAAAATTCAAAAAGTCACCAAAAAATTTGGGATTATTGCACAAAAATTGGAGATATTTGTACATACATATAAAAGAATATTGTTTATTCATGTTTTTGTTCGTTCGTCTTCGCGGACCCCCTAGGATTTTACTACGGACCACTAGGGGTCCGCGGACCCCCATTTGGGAACCGTTGGTCTAGTCTATAGTCTAGTCTATAGTCTAGTCTATAGTCTAGTCTATAGTCTAGTCTATAGTCTAGTCTATAGTCTAGTCTATAGTCTAGTCTATAGTCTAGTCTATAGTCTAGTCTATAGTCTAGTCTATAGTCTAGTCTAAAGTCTAGTCTATAGTCTAGTCTATAGTCTAGTCTATAGTCTAGTCTATAGTCTAGTCTATAGTCTAGTCTATAGTCTAGTCTATAGTCTAGTCTATAGTCTAGTCTATAGTCTAGTCTATAGTCTAGTCTATAGTCTAGTCTATAGTCTAGTCTATAGTCTAGTCTATAGTCTAGTCTATAGTCTAGTCTATAGTCTAGTCTATAGTCTAGTCTATAGTCTAGTCTATAGTCTAGTCTATAGTCCAGTCTATGTTCTTGTCTATAGTCCAGTCTATAGTCTAGTCTATAGTCCAGTCTATAGTCCAGTCAATAGTCTAGTCTATGGTCTAGTCTATAGTCTAGTCTATTGTCTAGTCTATAGTCTAGTCTATAGTCTAGTCTATAGTCTAGTCTATAGTCTAGTCTATAGTCCAGTTTATAGTCTAGTCTATTGTCTAGTCTATAGTCTAGTCTATAGTCAAGTCTATAGTCTAGTCTATAGTCTAGTATATAGTCTAGTCTATTGTCTAGTCTATAGTCTTGTCAATAGTTCATAATCTAGACTATTTATAAGTAATATACAGTCTAGTCTATATTCTAGTCTAGTCAATAATCTAGTCCATTGTCTAGCGAATAGTCAAGTCTATAGTCTAGTCTATAGTCCAGACTATTGTCTAGTCTATAGTCTGGTCTATAGTGGTGCCGGTAGTAAAGTGCATATTCTGGTCTATACTGTTATCTACAGTCTAGTGGAGATTCTAGTGTATAGTCTAGTGCAGAATCTATAGTTTTGTCAATAGTCATGTCAATAGTCTTGTCAATAGACTTGTCAATATTCACTCGAGTAGTCAAAACTATGATCTTTAGTGTAGCCTACAGTCAGACCATAAAATGAACTAACTATAGTCCCAACTACTTATTGTCTAGTCTCTTACTAAATTTCTTGTATTCATCGGTTACGTTAAATACGAAATAAAATCAAAAATTTTATGCATATAAAAATGATTTCAATTACCTTATGTTAATCTTTGATTATGGAAAAAAACTTATAGTTTTATTATTGTTAGCAATTGGCTGTGTTTGTGATCTTGAACTTTTGTTTACAAAAAAAAACTAACAATTTGTTATTACTACTTACTTACCTGTCATTTTGTAGTAAACCAAACAATACTATTTTTATAAAAAAAAGTAACATGCAAAACTTACAACAGAAAAATACCAACATATAAACTCCACAAAAATCATCAACAATATATAAGCATTTGTTGCTATTTAAAATTTTTAGTTACACAAAGCCTTCACCACACAAAAATGGTAGTGTTGCGAATGGGAAATAGTATAAAGGAATTAGGATAATTGAAAAAAAAAAAACTAAGCCAAAAAATTAATGTTATAAAAAGGGCAATAAAAAGACTTTAATAACAATAAAACCCATTTTGCAAGAAATGACGAAATGTGTTAAATTTTTACAAAATTTTACAAGAATTAAAACAAAATTTAAATAATAAAGATAATTTTTCCACAAGGACCTGTCCACATGAATAACAAATTGGGAAACTAGATATGCAAAACAAATTCTTTTATACATTCCTCAAAATGGGTTTAGAAATTAAAAGAAACAAATATTAACAATCAATAAGAAAAGAACAGAAGCTAAGGACTAAATTTTAACTAAAAATTTTTGTTAAAGAAAATTTTGATTTTCTTGTTTTCTTTTCTTTCATTTTTGTTTACTTGAACCTTGAAAAAATATCTATTCCTTTTTGTTTCAATTTAACTTATAATTCTAAGAACTTACATTTAAATGTGAATACTGATCATGTGATTCATTTGCTGGTGGCTTAAATTTGCCACAACAGAAGTTGCAGCAACAACAACAGCAGCAACAGCAACAACAGCCGGTAATTATTGTACAACAAATAACCAAAGCCTGTAAAAATTATAAAAAAAATTATAATTACTTTCCTGCTTCCAAACCAAAGTAGTTTAGCAATGTATAAATGTACCTTAACTGCTGGTGATGTTACCACAAAGTAAGCATTAACATTTTCTTCGCCAAACTGTTCAGCAATGTAAAGACCTAGTGAACCGTAATTATCGTAAATATTACGTTTTGTTTGATCACTTAGTATAGAATGTGCACGATTGACTTCCTTAAACTGTAAATGAAACAAATTATTTGAATTTACAATTATATAAACTAAAATTTATATTTGTAAAATGTGTGTACCTTATCGGCAGCATCAGCATTGTCTGGATTTTTATCTGGATGATATTTTAAAGCAAGTTTCCTATAAGTCTTTTTTATATCTTCAGCTGTTGCTGTTTTAGGAAGTCCTAATATTTCATATAGTGAATCTCCAGCTGTCCTGTAGGGTGAAAAAAATTAATAAAATTTAGTTAATTTTATTAAAAAAAAGTCATTAGATATAAAAACAAAAAGATTATTTATTTATAATGTCTTAAAATCTGATAACATTAAGTTGAATTTGATGAATTTGTCCCTAGTCTTCACTTTTCCAAAAATGCGATAGTACACAATTATAGTTTTATCAGTAAATCGGTTATTGGAAGATAAAGAGGAACTAGAGACAATTGAGTATACAATTTCCACTGCCCTAGAGTACAGAATCTTACGAAACCGTCATCTCAGTAGCTGCTCGCTTTATTCTTGCTGGTCGCATATGAAATACCAGCCCAGGAGATCCAAGACTCGCCCAGCTGAACCTTGCAATCAGATGGTTGGTAAATGGGGATAAGCGGAATAAATGGCTGGATCATTTGAAGAACTGCAACTTGAATTCGGGTATTAGTAAGTTGGGGTGTACAGTTCGAGCTCTCTCCAATCCGACGATGAAGTATGACAGAGTCGCGATTAAGTTTGTAGACATCCCCATTTCCGACCCTGAAGGGTGCTTGAGCGCATTTTGCCCACAATTCTTTGAACACCCTGAGAGAGAGAGGCAAGGCGAAACAAATCGTTGTTCGCAAACTTCACAACCTTCCAGTCCCGGACATACCACAGCCCTTCACCCCAGCTCAAGTTGCAGACGTCATCAACAATGCCAAGCCATCTAAGGCGATTAGCACCGATGGAATATCCATGCTGATGTTGGGGCAAGAGGGGAGTTGAGTACCTGACTATGGTTTTCAACATGGAAAAAGGATAGAGTTATTCCCATTTTAAAACCTGAGAAAGATGCGACGGAAGGACTATCATACAGGCCGATATCCCTCCTATCACCGGACGCGAAGACTTTTGAGGCGTTTCTCCTTTTTTCCCCCAGCTGTCCAGCCATCTAACAGCAGCTCGTCAACAGCATGGTTTCCGCAAAATGTACAGCACCACCACTGCATTAACCACCATTGCCACACAGATTTCACAAAGCTTAAATCAGCAGAGGCTGTTTGAAAGGATGGTCCTACTGGCTCTTGACCTGTCGAAAGCCTTCGACACTGTCAGTCATGCCACACTCTTCGAGGATATCCTGCAATTCACAACAACACGAATAGATGGATCGTAAATTATCTGAGTGGCCGCCGAAGAGTTTAGAGACAGACGCTCCAAAACCCGTAGAGTTAAACAAGGCGTACCTCAAAGTGGAGTGCTATCGCCAATTTCGTTTAACTTCTACCTCTCTAAACTCACCGCAAATCCACAAGAAGTGTACGTGATGTCATATGCGGACGACAGTACAATTATGACAACATTGATGATTTATGTGTTCTGTCAGTGGTTAATTATGCTGCTCCAGTGTGGCTCAGTGATACCCAATGGAGAAACATTCTAAACTGCCAAATTGCCGCCCTAAGAACTGTAACGGGAGGAAACGAAGGTCCTCCCAGTCAAGTAACACAATGTCATGCTGACTAAACGTATAGACTGTGCCGTCCCAACGAATGTGCTGCATGTGGTCAAGGTCCTTATGACACTCTCACTGCTCAACTGCTCAGCTCACTCTACTTCAATTTGTCCAATGGACTTATGGACACATCCAGTTGAAGTAGCAAAATTTTTAGGCCTGGACATTGATTTAGAACCCCCCAACTAGATTATTTTGTAGTTTTAGCTGTTACAACAACAACAACAGAATCTTAGTAAAATGAAATGGTTGGGAAATAACCAGTATATAGTCTAGTCCATGGTCTAGTCTATAGTCAGTCTATAGTCTAGTCTATAGTCTAGTCTATAGTCTAGTCTATAGTCTAGTCTATAGTCTAGTCTATAGTCTAGTCTATAGTCTAGTCTATAGTCTAGTCTATAGTCTAGTCTATAGTCTAGTCTATAGTCTAGTCTATAGTCTAGTCTATAGTCTAGTCTATAGTCTAGTCTATAGTCTAGTCTATAGTCTAGTCTATAGTCTAGTCTATAGTCTAGTCTATAGTCTAGTCTATAGTCTAGTCTATAGTCTAGTCTATAGTCTAGTCTATAGTCTAGTCTATAGTCTAGTCTATAGTCTAGTCTATAGTCTAGTCTATAGTCTAGTCTATAGTCTAGTCTATAGTCTAGTCTATAGTCTAGTCTATAGTCTAGTCTATAGTCTAGTCTATAGTCTAGTCTATAGTCTAGTCTATAGTCTAGTCTATAGTCTAGTCTATAGTCTAGTCTATAGTCTAGTCTATAGTCTAGTCTATAGTCTAGTCTATAGTCTAGTCTATAGTCTAGTCTATAGTCTAGTCTATAGTCTAGTCTATAGTCTAGTCTATAGTCTAGTCTATAGTCTAGTCTATAGTCTAGTCTATAGTCTAGTCTATAGTCCAGTCTATAGTCTAGTCTATAGTCTAGTCTATAGTCTAGTCTATAGTCCAGTCTAGTCTATAGTCCAGTCTAGTCTATAGTCTAGTCTATAGTCTAGTCTATAGTCTAGTCTATAGTCTAGTCTATAGTCTAGTCTATAGTCTAGTCTATAGTCTAGTCTATAGTCTAGTCTATAGTCTAGTCTATAGTCTAGTCTATAGTCTAGTCTATAGTCTAGTCTATAGTCTAGTCTATAGTCTAGTCTATAGTCTAGTCTATAGTCTAGTCTATAGTCTAGTCTATAGTCTAGTCTATAGTCTAGTCTATAGTCTAGTCTATAGTCTAGTCTATAGTCTAGTCTATAGTCTAGTCTATAGTCTAGTCTATAGTCTAGTCTATAGTCTAGTCTATAGTCTAGTCTATAGTCTAGTCTATAGTCTAGTCTATAGTCTAGTCTATAGTCTAGTCTATAGTCTAGTCTATAGTCTAGTCTATAGTCTAGTCTATAGTCTAGTCTATAGTCTAGTCTATAGTCTAGTCTATAGTCTAGTCTATAGTCTAGTCTATAGTCTAGTCTATAGTCTAGTCTATAGTCCAGTCTATAGTCTAGTCTATAGTCTAGTCTCTAGTCTGTCATAGTCTAGTCTATAGTCTAGTCTATAGTCTAGTCTATAGTCTAGTCTATAGTCTAAGTCTATAGTCTAGTCTATAGTCTTAGTCTATAGTATTAGTCTATAGTCTAGTCTATGTAGTCCAGTTCTATAGTCGAGTCTATAGTCTAGTCTCTAGTCTAGTCTAATAGTTCCAGTCTAATAGTCTAGTCAATAGTCCTAGTCAATAGTCTACTATCGTCTAGTCTATAGGTCTAGTCTATAGTCTAGTCTATAGTCCTAGTCTATAGTCTAGTCTATAGTCCTAGTCTATAGTCTAGTCTATAGTCTAGTCTATAGTCTAGTCTCTAGTTCTAGTCTATAGTCTAGTCTATAGTCTAGTCTATAGTCTAGTCTATAGTCCTAGTCTCTAGGTTCTAGTTCTTAGTCTAGTCTATAGTCTCGTCTATTAGTCTAGTCTATAGTATAGTCTATAGTCTAGTCTATAGTCTAGTCTATAGTCTAGTCTATAGTCTAGTCTATAGTCTAGTCTATAGTCTAGTCCTATAGTCTAGTCTATAGTCTAGTCTATAGTCTAGTCTATAGTCTAGTCTATAGGTCTAGTCTATAGTCTAGTCTATAGTCTAGTCTATAGTCTAGTCTATAGTCTAGTCTATAGTCTAGTCTATAGTCTAGTCTATAGTCTATAGTCTAGTCTATAGTCTAGTCTATAGTCTAGTCTATAGTCTAGTCTATAGTCTAGTCTATAGTCTATAGTCTAGTCTATAGTCTAGTCTATAGTCTAGTCTATAGTCTATAGTCTAGTCTATAGTCTAGTCTATAGTCTAGTCTATAGTCTAGTCTATAGTCTAGTCTATAGTCTAGTCTATAGTCTAGTCTATAGTCTAGTCTATAGTCTAGTCTATAGTCTAGTCTATAGTCTAGTCAATAGTCTAGTCTATAGTCTAGTCAATAGTCTAGTCAATAGTCTAGTCTATAGTCTAGTCTATAGTTTAGTCTATAGTCTAGTCTATAGCCTAGTCTATAGTCTAGTCTATAGTCTAGTCTATAGTCTAGTCTATAGTCTAGTCTATAGTCTAGTCTATAGTCTAGTCTATAGTCTCTATAGTCTATAGTCTAGTCTATAGTCTAGTCTATAGTCTAGTCTATAGTCTAGTCTATAGTCTAGTCTATAGTCTAGTCTATAGTCTAGTCTATAGTCTAGTCAATAGTCTAGTCTATAGTCTAGTCAATAGTCTAGTCAATAGTCTAGTCTATAGTCTAGTCTAGTCTAGTCTAGTCTATAGTCTAGTCTATAGTCTAGTCTATAGTCTAGTCTATAGTCTAGTCTATAGTCTAGTCTATAGTCTAGTCTATAGTCTAGTCTATAGTCTAGTCTATAGTCTAGGCTATAGTCTAGTATATAGTCTAGTCTATAGTCTAGGCTATAGTCTAGTATATAGTCTAGTCTATAGTCTAGGCTATAGTCTAGTATATAGTCTAGTCTATAGTCTAGTCTATAGTCTAGTCTATAGTCTAGTCTATAGTCTAGTCTATAGTCTAGTCTATAGTCTAGTCTAAAGTCTAGTCTATAGTCTAGTCTAAAGTCTAGTCTATAGTCTAGTCTATAGTCTAGTCTATAGTCTAGTCTATAGTCTAGTCTATAGTCTAGTCTATAGTCTAGTCTATAGTCTAGTCTATAGTCTAGTCTATAGTCTAGTCTATAGTCTAGTCTATAGTCAGTCTTATAGTCTAGTCTAAGTCTAGTCTATAGTCTAGTCTATAGTCTAGTCTATAGTCTAGTCTATAGTCCTAGTCTATAGTCTAGTCTATAGTCTAGTCTATAGTCTAGTCTATAGTCTAGTCTATAGTCTAGTCTATAGTCTAGTCTATAGTCTAGTCTATAGTCTAGTCTATAGTCTAGTCCTATAGTCTAGTCTATAGTCTAGTCTATAGTCTAGTCTATAGTCTAGTCTATAGTCTAGTCCTATAGTCTAGTCTATAGTCTATCATAGTCTAGTCTATAGTCTAGTCTATAGTC